GGGTAAATGAGTCAAATGATCGATTTTAATTTTAACGAGAATGTGACTGCTTGAAATTGATGAGATGTGATCAGCTAAGTTTATGAACAGTTTATGATGCTATTAATCGGGGCCTTGAGTATTCGGCTGAAGTAGCTTGTGAACAGTAACATTAATAAGTCTTATACTTATCTAATCAACATTTAGGTAAAGACAAGTACCGGAGATACCAAATATCAAATCCACATCAGAGGCTCGTTTCATCGCGGCCCAAACACACTGAAAGCATCCGACTCACGCGTTTTGTTTAGATTTTGGAGCATCGCATGAGGAAACATCTGTTTTTGTTCTGCAGCTGGAACGCCTGCTTGGAGAGCTAAAAGGAAGAAAAGGATTTTCCCCAAGAATTTTTCCCCATTCATGTATCAATATGTTAAAAGATAAAGGTGTTAAAGGGTATCTGTTATGTACAGAAATGTCTAAATAGCAACCATTTCTTAAAATACTGCTGGTTCTGTGCAGTTGACATTTCAAATCTGCAATACGTCACAGGAGCATCAATGGACGCGTTCAGTGTGTTTGGGTCCTTTTTTAGAGGAGAAGACTTGAAGCGTTTCAGTTAAGAACTCAAAATGATAAAACACCATGTTGGGGTATTTGAGGGCCCAGGTGACTCTGAGAAGAGACTCTGGCAGGAGGTTGATGTTAGTGTGTTAAAGGGGGCTGGTTGTTTTTGTGTCATTCCAAGTCCTGACTGAATCCTCTGCAGTCTCTTCCATCCCAGCCTCAAGTAAACTGGTTCTCCTCTGAGTACTCCGTGTCCTCTGGAGTGTACTCGTTATTTTCGGCAGCGTACTGGACGTCGACGTCGATGTCGCCCTCGACGTCGCCGTCGCCCTCGCACTCGATGTCGCCCTCGCACTCGATGTCGCCCTCGCACTCGCCCTCGTACGGCAGTTCTGCTGCGTCTTGGTTCTCTGCAGTGTTCAGGCCGGACTTCTTCACTCTACATCAAAAGACACATTTTAAGATTGTTTTGTCAGAGGAGCGTTTTTTCTTTTTTTCCACAATACTGATTGGTTAGTTCAAAACAAAACAGAAATCAGAAATCCACAAGCAGATTATAAATAAACATCTGTCCAGATAGAAATGAAAGAGCGCAATTGAAGTGTTTTTAAGCTCATGAAAAACCAACAGGAAGCGATATAACCCCAACGTCATGTTGGCCAATCGTGCAAAAAAACAAGAAAAAAAAGATGTTGTGTAAAAAGTCCTGTTTGCAAGGTTAGAGCTGGCACAAAAAGACGAAAGGCCAAAACGCAGAGAAAAAGCTAGTTTAAAAAAAAAATACCTGTGTACACGTGGAGTACTGACAGAAATGTGATTATCAGGGAGAAATAAAAAGTGTGTACTTACTGGTTCTTATGTTTGGCGCCACTAATATGAGACTGGTACTGCTCCACAGAGTTCAGTTCGATGCTGCAGACGGTGCATGGGTAGCCCTTTAGTGTGGAAGCTGGAGGCACACAGGAAAGGAGAGAGGGGTGTTTTCGTGTCCACACAGTAAAAAGAAAGACTTAATGAATGATTTATCCTCAGACGGGGTCTGTGGTCTGACCTGGTGCAGTGGAGGGGCCGTATGTCTCCATCAGTTTCTGCTTGGTCATCTGTTTCCTGTGCTTCTTGCCCACGTAGTGCTGCTGGGCCATGAGCGGGTTGTTGAAGGAGGCCTGGCAGATGGAGCAGAAGCGGTCCGGGTCGCTGTTGCTGTCGCCGCCCGTCGCGCCGCTGGAATCGTCTGCAGGTTTCTTCTTCGGCAGGACCATCTGTGTCATTTGGGAGGCTACTGCTGCAGAGGAGATGCAATAAAAAGACAGTAAGCAACACTTACAATGTCAATCATACTTATAGGGAACCAGATAAAAAACTATACGCAGAATCGGGGGGAAAAGAAAATGGAAGGTAACAGAGCCGCAGGTTATGAATAAAATCATACAAAAGCATGTACATACCTGGGGCCTGGGAGCCGACGTTTTTCATCCGCAGGTTCTTGGCGTGAACTTTTCCCTGGTAGTGAGACTCGGCCATCACAATAGAGGAGAAGGTCATGTTACAAACATTACACACCTTCGACCGGTCGGTATCTCCGTTGTTACAGTCCTGCTTACACACACACACACACACACACACACACACACACACACACACACACACACACATCATTTCTGGATACAAGAGGCATCACTTGTCCCGGTGGGGGAAAAAAAAGGACGATTTGTTTGCACATCTGTTGTGTGAACAAAGGTCCACACAAAGGCTTCATCTGGAGGATAAAAGGTGTTTTTTCGAAGCTTTAAAATGGCATCAATTAAGAGATGCAATTAACGGCTACACCTGTTTATCTTCACAGTGATGTACATTTAATGGTTTCTGTTGTTTTGGGGGATTTGAGCTGTTGAACTGAGCTCTTTTCACTCACACTGTCGGACGATGACGACTTGAACTTCTTGAGCTCCGGCTCCTTCTCGTTCTGGATGGAAAGATAACGGCGCACTTTGTTGCCGTGTTTCTTGCTCTGAAAAGACACGACGAGCACAAACGTTTCATCACAAAGTGGACAACAAACACTCAGGATGGCTAATAATCACACCGTTAAAAATAGGTAAAGTCAGCTGAAAGCGCAGCAGCAGACTGTGGGCTCACTGACCTGATAATGAGTCAACTTCTGAGACTCTGAAATGAGAACAGCACTGCAGACTTTACACTGGGAGTCAGAAAACAGGTCGCCATGCTCCTTTATCATCTTATTTACTGCAGGGGGGAGACAGAGAGAAACAGGAGATTTCAAAATCAGGTCACATCTCCTGGGATATAATGTAATTATAAACACACAACGTAAAACCAAAAAACATCTGTGGCAAAAGTTCAAACAACAATTTTGCTCATGATGCTTTTTATTTATCAAGACAGCTCTGTGGTGTCCACCTCCAGTGGCATCAAAATCCTCTGTATTAAGAGTTATTCTTTCTTTTTATAAACGGCTTTCTTTCTCGTAGTAGTTATTGCTTAAATGTAAGATGTTCACCTTGTGCACATGTTAACAGTACATGCAAGTCAATGGAAAACGCCTGTGCACAGATCCGTAAACACCAGACAGACAGACGCACGTTTTGGTCCTAATTCTGAGTTTGAGTCTTTGATCTTTGCTCAAACAAAGTATTCACCTCGATGCAAAGACGGGACAAAAACAACGGCAAATATACTGGACAGATATGATTAATCCAAGTATTAAATCAGGGGATTAAAACTTGGTTGGATGCGACATTGAAGGAGCACTTCTACTGACCGAGTTGGTTTGGATGAGATGTATTTAATTCAGATGTGGAATACATCACCGGCTTCATCCGTCTGTTAAAGGCTTTTTGTCACTCAGACAAAAGGTGTTTGTCTATTAGATTAGATTAATTTAATATCGTCTTTGCACAGTGTACAGAGACAACGAAAAGCAGTTTGGCATCTATAACCAGGAGTGCAAAAAGCTGCAAAGTGCAAAACAAAATATAGAATAAACAGTAAAGGGGATGTGTGCCAAGATCCTGTGTGAGCAGTATGAACAGTATGTAAAGAATCAGATATCAATATGAACACAGGAGGCAGTTCAGGTAGAAGTACAACAACGCTCATGGTGCATTAGAAGGAGAGGTACAAAGTTATCACACAGGCTACTACATCAGTGACGCACTTCTCCATCACATCTCTTAAATAAATTGCATTTTTAATTTCTCTGCCAAGCTTCGGTGAACAGCTGCTTTTTAAATGCGCTGTATAAATCAAATGTGCTTAATGTCAGAAATACAATATTAATAAAAAAACACACGTGATAAACTTCTGTATGGACACAGTGTCTTCACCACATGGACAGATCTGTTTCCATCTCCGTTGACATTGTTTAAGACCTGAGGATTATAGCTAACCGCATATGGCCTAAACAAAAATGAACGTCTGTCAATGACCCGCTATTAACCCAAATTTAAGGATGCCTCCTTCAGTCTCCGCTGGTGCACGTGCAGGGTTATTACTTCACGAGCAGTCTGAAGCAACATCGGATGCAGGACATGCTCTAATCGACCTTGAAGCTGAAACGGCTACCGTTAGCTTAGCTTAGCTTAGCAAACACGCTCCGCTCAGCCTCCATTGCCAGCCGGGACGGCTAACGTTAGCTCGCGTTAAGCTAGCAGCAACACTGGTATTTTAACCGCGACTATGACTTGCACTGACACGCAATCTTATTTTAATGCATGCGTGAGGAAACGGGTCATACCTTCCGCCGGCCCCGAAGGTAAATAAGGAAAATCGTCTGTCTGCATCGCGTCGGCCATAATTTCAACTCAAAAGCCAGTGGCGTCCTACTGCGCATGCGCCGCTTTCAGGCAGCCAAACGGGTAAACATAGAGCCGTAAAAAGAGAGAGTCGCGTCAATGGCAGTTCAACATGCTTTATTGCAGGGGTTCTTAACCTTTTTGACCTCGGGGCCCAACTTTTCAAGTACAAAGTGTCCCGGGGCCCATTCAAATATTAACACTATTAGTTTAACTAATTGATCTCACTCTTGGTTTGATTTGTATTCAATAACTATATTGTTACCTGTTTAACTCCACCCCTATTTTGGAGCAAAACCACCTAAAATGGCAGACCCAAATTAAAATGGCTGTAGCTTCTGAACCACTGTGACTATATGCATCAAAAGTGTCAGAAAACCTGTAGGTCATATAGAAACAGAGCAGTGGGCCTTTGGAGTCAGTAAAAATTGAAGATTTTTGTCCGCATAAAATAAAAAAAGTATCTTTCAGTATAAATAACTGCCTGTGGCTGTATCTGTACAGGTAAATGACAGTATAGGGCTGTAACTACACTATCAGTGAACAACTGCCTCAAGTGCCATGAAGACCACTGTCGTCTTCATTTTGTCTACCACTACAGTGTAGTGGTTAAATCATGTAATGTTTATGATTCATTAAATGATTTAACACTGCTGCCCTCTAGTGGTTAAATCGTGTAATGTTTATGATTCACTAAATGATTTAACACTGCTGCCCTCTAGTGGTTAAATCATGTAATGTTTATGATTCATTAAATGATTTAACACTGCTGCCCTCTAGTGGTTAAAATTAGTGTTACAAATTGTTTATGTGTCACAGACTGTTGTGTGCTGTTGTGTTTTTCTCTGCTAAAGAGCATTAGTTGTGGGTTGTTAATTGTTGTGTTATAAAGTTATGACCATGACTAGGGTTCCCTCTCAATACATATAAGACAACTAGCGCTGACCGCTGTGCATTAGCAGCAAAGAATACATTTAGCTGCCTGTTGAAAGCAGACAGCAGTTGTTTTGGCTATGCACTGGTATAATGGTGTGTGAAGAATTCATATCATACGGGAAATTAAAACCGGAATCCTGCCCAGCTCTAGTTTTTGTTATAGTTTGGACAATTTTGGACCAATGAACGGGCCGGATTAAAAAGCCCAACGGCCGTAGTTTGCCCATACCTGGGCTAACGGCTAGCTGAGTGTCTTCTTCTGCTTATTGTATCTTGTTAAACAACTGACTGACGCATTACCGCCACCAGGTGGTGGGAAGCTATATTGTAACTGAGTGTCTCATGGAGAACAGTAATATCTCTGGTGTCTTCAATTGATAACCTATGCGGTCCCGCGGCCCTCGCGGCCCACAGGTGCAAAACTGAAAGTTTTTTTGCGGCCCTCTAGGTGGCGTTCGCGGCCCCATCGTGGGGTTAAGAATCATTGCTTTATTGTCACATGATTCACGTAGACTTCAGAGGGTTCCAGGAAGTACTTGGTGGGCAATTTGCACGTGTAGATACTGGCAGAAATGGGCTTCCATAGAAATCTGTAGAAACAGAGAGAAATAATCTGTGTTTTTAAAAGTAAAATGTGCTCATATTTGAGGATTAGTAAATGTAACAGGCAGACATCGTCAGGCACCAAAATTCTGTCTGTTTGTCTTAGTTTGTTCTTGAAAACTTCTCCAATCCTTCCCTAATCTTACTAATTCTCAAATATTAGCAAATTATACTTTAAAAAAAACACAATATGTAGTAATTTAAATATGCTTGTCGCAATTCTGTCTCTCTGTTTGCATCGTTTCTACCAATAACTATGCACGCAAATTGCCCGCCACTTGAAAATCAAGTATGTTAAACTTCCGTTTACGCGACTTTATACGGCTCTGGCTGAAGGCAGCGTGAAGTTCGCGCCTGACGTAGTAGTCACGTGACTCAAACAAACATGGCGCCGCGAAAGTGAGGAAAACTCTTGATGTGAGTCTTTATATACTGAATTATTGTTTGGTTTATCGTTATTTTAAGTAGCCGTGGAACAAAAAAAACACACATAAACAGCGACTTTGTTTTAACTATACGGTAAATTAAACACAACATCGAGAAAATGAATTGTATTTGATGTTTTTAGGGTCCCGTTTCGTCAATTTGTTTCCCTGTCAACCGATGTTCTCGCGCTATGGAAGCTAACTTCAACTGATGATTTCGTGCTTCTCACTCAGCTCTTTTGTTTCAACTTCAACACGCTGGCTAGTTAATTTGGGGTCAACGCTCGTGCCATCACGTCACACCGACCAGCCGGACAGATGAGAGGTAGAAGAGGACAGTCTTCATCATCAGGTGATAACTGCTGCTGAGAGTGCGCGAGGAGGGTGCGCTGTTATTATTGGTTATTTTGAAACCGAAGAGAAGGAGGAAGGAAGAGGGGGATGAGGAGGAGTAATACTAGTATTACAAACGAGTAGACCAACCAACACACACTCCACCTTTTTACAAAACCTCATGCAGGAGTTGTGTATAACAATGAGAATAACACAACAATAACAATTATGTTATAATGTTAGAAAGAGCTGCAGATGATGTCTTCATTTAATTTCACTCATACACGCCGTCAAGTGTATTATGCCCCAAAATGGATACAGGTAATGTTCATTGAGAATATAAACACTGCATACTTTAGCTTAACTGCCACTCATGTTTCATGTTGAAATATAGTAACTTTAACCTTAATGGCCTGAGTGGTTGTTCAAGACGCTGGTTGAATCTATGAATGTGTGGACGAACTGAAACGGCTCATAAGAGAGATTTGTGTTTCTTCTTTTTCAAACTGAAGAGGCTGGTTTACAACAGCCATGAATTGGCCGATACGTCACAAATCCAGCAGAAAGTAGACGGGTGAGCTGCATGTGAATTCTTCCCTCACCTTAGATTCTGGCAAGAAAGGAGAAACCAGCAGGAATTTGAGTGGAGCTGGATTATGTGGTTTTCGAGATGTAACTGTTGAAGCTTTATTTATTTGTGTGTCATAGTTTCTCAGGAGCAGACCAGAATGGCTCTGAGGAAGCAACTACTCCAGGATGTCAGCGACGTTCCCTCCGGAAGCCAACAGGTTGGCGAAAACACGCAGGAGGACGAAGCTCTCGACGATGGAGACGACAATGTAAAGAAAATGTTAAGATGAGCTAGATAAATACAGGTTTATATGTTTAACTCCAGAAGTACAGGCTCAAAAAAAACAACAACACCTTAGTTTGTTTGTTCTTCCAGGACGAGCTCTCATCATCACTTCTGTCATCGGCATCGAGAGAAAAACGGAAAAGAGAGACGGAGAACAAATCCAAAGGTACATAACAGAGCTTTCATTTCATTTAACTAGAAATCATTCAGAAAAATACCAGTATGAAGAGAATACCACAACCAGTACTATGTTCAATAAAAACGTGACGTTATTGTGTAATAACATTCTCGATTGAAGTTACTGTACCTCGTTTTGAGATGCTGATTTATTGACGCCATCAAAAGTGTCGTTTAATTGACTAAAGTACAGTCTAAACGTAGCCATCCAAAGCTTAATCTACCCTAACTAAGTCACTGTGTTCGTCACATTTAAAGCCGATGTCTGTAATATATACAACGCTGACTTTCTGACATAGTAACCTTGTCCCCGTTGTTCTCAGAGATGACCGAGGAGGAGATGATGGACATGGCTTTGCGTCTGAGCGAACAGGAAGCCAGCGTCACTGCGCTCAGAGTCCAGCAAGAGGACGAGGCCATGATGAAAGCCATCCAAGAGAGTGTGAGTTGTTAAAGCTGTACGGTCATTTTTGGAGGATACAGAACCGATTGCATACTGCAGTAAATGTACAACCACTTCTTTTTGTTGCACGCTCACAGTCACCTAGTGTAGATGACCGACCGGTTTCTAAATATCCGTGTTTTTTTGTGTCTCGTAGATGTTCAATCAGACTCAACCGGCCCAAAGTCGGAGGCTGCCTACCGATGCTGAAGCTTCACTCAGGATCTTCTCTCCCAGGAAACTCTGGTATGCAAACGGGAAGAAGACGTCGGCCGTCAATCAGGGAGCAGCAGAGGACGTCTGCACACCAGAGGCCGACCTGAACCCAGGTGAGTCACTGTTGTTGTTCAATACCCTGCAACTTCTAGTGTCCTCCTGCACCAACACTGACGAGACAGAAAGGGAAGAATAAATCAAAAAGAATAATGTTAGCGTTAAATCAGACCAGCTGCTGCTGAAGTGCCCATGAGTGTGAACACGTACTGTATTCCCAGGAGCAAAAGGAACAGGAGATGAAAGTAATAACAGGCTGAGAAAGCGGAAAAGGAAAGAAGGAAGTCCTCTGCTGGAGATGCCGGACTTGTCGCAGGCTCAGAAGATCTCCTCTCAGGCTTCACCCTGCAGCTCAGAGGGTCTCTCAGTGCCTCTGGACTCACCACAGGTTTCTGTCTTCTCTTTCCTTTTGATTCGTCTGATTCAATTCATTATTTAGTCTAGAAAAGGCTGCTGGTCACAGTTTCCATAAGCCCAATGTGATTTTTACAGAACTAAAAGAGAGAGAATATTGGACTAACAGTCATCAGCTGAGTACAAACACAACTCCAAATAAATGATGTTTGTTTTTGTCTTCTCTGAACAATAAATCAGAGCTGTGACTCGACCCAGATCGACGACTGTCAGCTTCTTAAATCCCCCGTCTTCCCCTCCGCTGACTGCAGAGCCAAGGTTCACGTCCCCCGGCTGAGCCAGGACCTCCTGGAGACCTGCAGAACCTCAGGGTTCGTGTTCTGCTCCTCTCGGGACAGTTGGGCCTCGCCTCGAAAGTCTCAGCCCGCTCAAGCCAGCAGTCCCACGTTTCCCAAAAGCCCCAAACGCTCCAACAACCTCACTTTGTCCGAGAGTCCTGTCTCCTTAGAGGCTGATCAGGGAGATGATGTAGAGACGGATCCGAGTCCCGAGTATTTCAAAAGTCCAGTATTTGGCAGGAATACTCAGCACGAGATGTCTCCAAGTGCCTGCAAACCCCAAGACGGTGTCTGTAACTCAGGGTTCATGTTCAGTTCTCAGGAGAGCTCGACCTCCTCTGTGAAGTCCACGCCCGGTCTGCTTAAGAGTCCAGTATTCCTCAAAAGCCCCGGCCTTCCCAAGAACCTCCCTCCCCCTGAAAAACCAGCAACCTGCAGAAGTCCTGTGTTCTCCGAGACTGTCGGAGGAGGATATACAAGCCCAGTGTTCGGCAGGATCGGAAGACGACGAAAGATTAAACTGGTTGAGCAGAAACACGCCGCGAGCCCTTCAGCTGCTGAGCTCATGGGTTCAGACAGTGACGGGAATTTAACCACCACCGAGGCTCCGGCTCAGAGTCTGAGGCAGGTGAGTCCAGGTGTCAAACAAAAGGGCTTCTCTGATAGTCGGGAACGTCTGAAACGACTGGATCTTTGAGTGTGATATCGTTATTTGAGAGTAATAAGTGTATCTTTTAAAGCAACGCTGTTCTGCAACATATTTATTATACTGTAATGTTTTTAACCGCCGCAAGGATGAAAAGACTTCTTACCTCATTTTCAGCATGATGGCAGTAGAAATGGCAGTTTCACTCATAGCATCCTGACAGATTTTGTAACTTACTGCTCATTTTTAACTGTTTTTCCTGCTTTTTGAATTCAGGACAGCAAGACTGATCACAATCAAGACGCCGGGTTTACTAAGTCGTCTACGTCGGGTACAGTGAAACATCACACACACACTACTCTCTGGAAGTCTCTTGTCCTTAATCTTCACTAACAATGTGAGCAATAGTGTGAGTAGAACCTGTTGGTCAGTGGCTCTGCTGATGTTTTCTGGTTTTAGATGATACAGAGGAGGAGCTCAAGGAAACATCCAAAGACTGCTCGGCTGAGACGGAGCTGACCAGCGATATGACGCTACTCTGGTCTGACGACGACGTCACGGTACAGAGGCTTCCTCGCTGTTGATGACCTCCAGTATTTTCCCACATATCCACTTTGTGTCATGTGTCATCAGTTACACGTCTAGTTAATTCACTGTGTCAGCATTAGAAGTTTGATTTCTATCAGGAATAACAGAGCGTTTGTCTGTCTTCACTGTTCCTCCCTCTCATCCGCTGCAGCCGGTGGGCTCACCCAGCCCGGTCTTCCCAGAGGAGAGGCCTGTTCATCGGGCAGACGGTGAGGATGCATCCTTGAACCACGTGACGGCAGCTTCTCCGGGGATGAACTGCAGGTAGAGAAAACACCGACAACACCACGAGATCAGAGTCTCTGTGTCACGTTAACCGCCTCAAACAGTGAGTCTGACTTGTCTCATCAAAGAGTTGAAGGACATCTCTTTGCTCACTGTAATTCTCTGTATGTTTCCACAATGAGACCTTCTACCTCCGCCTCCACATCCACCAGCAGACAGCAGCCTTCCACCACAGAGAGAGGACCACAGCCAATCAGCAGCCAGGGAGCGGTCAGCGGGGCGCCTGCAGGCGGGCCGACGGTGCACTACTACTGGGGGGTTCCCTTCTGTCCTCAAGGGGTGGACCCGGACGAATACACACAGGTGAAGATCTGTTTCATCTTGTTATAAATAAAAGATTTCTGGGTAATCACCTCATATCGCTTCTTCTCAAATGCGATGATTTCTGCTGTGATGGTCAATGAAAGTGCTCAGACTGAGGTCACCTGTATTTGAGCAGATGATATGAGAGGTACGAGGCTCCAAATAATCCCTTTCATCTCATTCATGATGGCGCTGCTGGCTTTGACACTCTTAACAGCTCCAATGATCTTCACTTAAACGTCAGATCTGTGTGCTTTGACGAGAACGTAACCTTCATACATGAAACAGTCACAAATGTCATATTTCCATCATGTTTTCCATTGTTTGAGCTCTGACCGGAGCTCTTTAATGACCTCATCTTGTTATATCCTCTTCTGGAATAATTTAATCTCACCTACAGATTTAAGCTCCACCAGCTGTTTAACTATCTATACTTTCATGACACCAGTGGATGGAAATGCACGTTAATTCACATTTTATTTTTGCAGATTGTCTAGAAATTATTTTATTAAGCATATTATTAACTCAATAATACAAACAATAAACATGCAATCAAATTGTAAAGTAAAATGATGTCTAATTCTTTACTTTCTCTTCTGTTTCTCTGTCCATTCATCCCTCATGTCAGGTGATCCTGGGTCACATGGAGGTGTATGAGAAGAGTCTGAAGCAGGCTCAGAGGTGTCTGCTCAGGAAGGCTGAGTGGGGGGAGGCTGTCCTGCCGCAGCCAGAGGTACCGTCATAACTAGTGTCTTTATGGACTTCATAGGCTGATATCTAATTTGAGATGATGTTCATATACAGAGTTTAATGAACCAGAGTGAACCTCTGAGGCCTGAAGTATTCAGATCATTTACTCACAATACAGCAGTGAGAAAACGCCCCACTCAACCTGTCACTACCGGAGAGATAGTGATACAAGTGATAGTAAGAGGAATGGAAATAGAAATAGATTGATATAAATTGATAAATAAATCATAGAATTAGTGTTGAAAGCACTATTTGCTCGCAGAAGTAGTGGAAAAGTGAGCCCTGAGCGTAGCCAGATGCACGAAATAAAATAATACTCAGACCAGGCGGATACCTCTGATTCTGAAAAGTGAAGCCAATGCAGAGCCTTAAACTTGTATTCTTTCTAATAACCAGCAGGAGGCGACTTCTCCGCTTGCAAAAATAAGTCAGATTGTATAGAAGTCACTGAGAAAATGACTCTACTTCTCTCTTGATTTATTACCTCAGTAAACATGAATTTATGGTCTCAAGCTCTAGTTTCAAGTCTTCTTCAACACAGCATGATGTTCATTCAGTAAATGATGGTCCATTTAGAGTCAAATAGACTATAAAGCAGAGTATGCTTTAGGGCGGGGCTACATGGTGATTGACAGGTCACTTACCACGGTCTGGGAGTTGTCATGTTTTCATCTTACAAATTTAACCCTTTCACAGTGCATTTTCATTCATTTAATTGTAACATTCGGTCACATAAAAATGCCGTATTTAGCATTCATTTGTACTCCACTCACCCTCTCGTGTTACTTTTGGTTCCAAAAAATTCAAACATCTGATAAGAAGAGAAACGCTATGTTGATATGAACATTTATTAGTATACACTATCATTATTGTTCTAGTCTTAGTGTACGTTGTTGATCCCTGCTGTGATGTGAAGACACTAATGAGCATAACATTTATGAAGCAAAGCTGTTTCTGATGTTTCAACAAGTTCAATTCATTCTGAGTCATTCAACAAGCTTCATGTGTTCCTCCTAGAAATCCCCTTCACCTGAGTCGCCTGCTGAATCCCTTCAGCAGCTCGTTCCTCGAAGGTAAAAACCGCACTGGCTCTTCTACTACAGTGGGAATGTGTCTTGTTAGCGTTCTGTTAGCCTTCGTGGTCACACAGGATCAAAGGAGCAGAAAGTCAGACAGCGAGGTGGCTCTTCAGTCTCAAACCAGAAATAAACTTGATACACTCAAAACTACTGAACTACGAACAAGAGAGGGCATCTGAACTGACGACCATCCTTCATTTATTTTCAGGCGTGGCCTCAGACTGAGAAGGAAAAACGTGTGTGAGGCAGCTGAAACACTGTCTGCTGAGGCAGAGGAGGATGAAGAAGACAATAAGGATGAAGAGGAGGAAAGAGAGAGCAAAGAAGGAGAAGAGAAGAAGAAGGAGGAGGGAGAAGAAGGACAGGCGGATGCTGATGACTGTGAGGTTTGTCCAGGTACTGAAGCTCCACCTTCTCTTCATGTGCAGGAGGAAGTTTATCATCGTGGTGAAATGTCTTTGTTTTCTTAACGATCCTTTTCTACATCAACAGCTTGAGTTTTCTGAATGTGGTTGTTTAGCTTAAAATATTAGAAAGCAAGGATTTATTTTTTTGACAACCAACAGCAGAATATGGCTGTTTTAAATTCTCACCTGGTGCGGAAACCATCTTCTTCTGTGATTACCTTTAATTTAATCACAATAGGCCTTTTTTCCTTAAAAACTAAACAGCTACTAACAGCTGGTGTGTCTCTCTGGTTCGTCTCAACAGAAACCCAGCTGAGTGACAACGATGACGACAAGACGCAAGATCTGATGATGCCGCCCGACGCAGCAGCAGAGGTGAGTTTAAACACTGCTTCGGTTAGATTATGACGTTAATGAGGTCGTCCTACAAGTGGATGAAAGTCTGAGAACGTTAAATTCAGTTCTAAGTATCAGTGTGTTTACTAATAATTAATAACACACTCGGCAGGTGGCTTTGCTATCACACATGTTTCGGGAGAAGATGTACAACAGAAGATAAAGCAATCTCATAAATCTACCATAAATATCAACTATTTCATCACTTCTTCCTCTTTGATGTCGACAACATTTTCTCCAGCGTGGATTTCAGTTTGACGGTAAAAAGAGTCCGGAGCCGCCGGAGGTCGAGATGATTCTCCAAGTGGATTCTCCAGCCGGAGAGGAGCTGCAGGGGGAGGAGGAAGAGATGGAGGTGGATGGTAAGATCACGTTGTGTGGAAAGGACAACAACAACACAGAAGAAAACATTTCATTTCATATTCTGTTCATTTTTTAATGTTTAAACAGGATCTTACATGTTGAACTCTTAACAAATGGAACAGAAAACCTTATTTGTAGTTTTGTGTTTGTACTGATACAAGTTTCCCCGACCTGGTCGTGTGGTGGCTGAAGTTGTAGAAATCATCGTTAGGGAATAATCTGAAACATGCGTTTGCGTTACTGTTTTTCAGCCGCAGTGGACAGAAAGACGAAGGGGAGCATCCCTGTGAGCTGCAGCGATGCTGGAGGACAGCATGTTAGAGAGGAGAGGACAGAGGAGGACGGGGGGGATCCAGATGTGGAGGAGATAACGGATCGAGGGCTTCAGAGGTCCACGTCTTCTGAAGTGCAGCCAGCCACCCTCTCTCAGAACCCTGAAGCCAAAGTGGACTGTCCCATCTGTCAGGGCTGGTACCCGGTGACGGAGATCGAGAGGCACGCTGCGTACTGCGACGGAGAGGTGGCCATCGTGGGGGAGAGGAGGCCCGACAAAGTCTGCTTGCAAGGTGACCGAAACATTATTTTATTTAACACAGTTCGGCCTCTAGATTCATGGCTGTAAGCTGCAACGTTATATTTTCACAGTGGTTGGGACGTAACAGTTTAGCGTTGTTGTGTTGCTGGTTTAAAAAGGACTCCTTGCTGTTCACTTCATAGTGTCTTTGAAGACTCGGAGGAAGAGAACAAGGAGAGCAGAGGCGGCTGCTGAAGTGACTTATGAACCCTCCAACACTGGCAAGTAAGTAGGTACCACCTGTCGTTAACAGGAACAGCTCAGCGGTTTCACACAGGTTATTTTTTTCTGTTCGTATTTTAAATACAGTTTTATGTTTTCAGCAGGAATCAAGAGAAATGTTACGTCTGTCAGAAAGCTGTTCCCCTGAGAGACTACAACCGACACACCGAGCTCTGCATCCAACGGCAGGCATCAAAGACTGCAGCGGTAAGACTCGTCACACACTCGGTCATTCACCGATAGAAGTGCACAAGATTTAAATCTTATGTTTTGGATTTGATCTGTTGATGAGGTTGGATCCTTTTTTTAATATTTATATATATTTCTGACCTCCCAGAAGGGAAATCTGCTGTCGGCTCTGGAGCAAACCGAGAGCAGAGATTCAGGTGAGTCTAGAAGTCTTTTAAATGTAACAACACTTTATGCCAGCAGCTCTGTGAAGCTGTGCTGACACACAGTGGAGCTTTGAGCTAAATGCTAACAGCAGAAAGCTAACATGCTGATGTTTAACAGGTATAATGTTTGGTGCGCTAACAAAAAGGACCTTCAGTTCCTCGGGTTCCTCCATAACAGTGTGAACAGAAAGAAGCAGATGTGAACAACTGGACTCACCTGATGCTCAACATTCAGATGAAACAATGTTGAGCAAATAAATATATGTTTTTACAGCCTCAAAAAGTAAATGATTAGCAGTAGAACTCATCGTTTGATTCACATTTGTGCTGACTTGTTGTTCTGTGTTCTCAGAGGCCGGGCCGTCTGGATCCAAACTCCACTCGGGGTAAAGACGTCTGAGAAACACTGACATTATGATTTGAGTGACAATATTCTTCTGTCTTTGTGGACATTTTGATCCAGAATCTCTCACAGTGACTGTGTCTGTCCGAGTGAACATTGTGAGGACAGACGTGGTAGAAATGTTTCTGCTGATCCTCAACCGTGTCGTGTGAATCCGTTAGTAAGCTAGTTCCAGTTTTAAAGAATGTTTTCTGCTTCAACGAGCTCTGATTTCTTGTGTCTTTGTTCACTTTTAGAGATGTCATTGATCTGCGGGATGATGATGATGATGATGAAGAGGAGGGCAGCGTTTCAGCTGTCAGGATCAGTAACTCTCCCATCAGAGCCTTCACTCCCATCTCAGAGGCCACCGGCTGCCTTATTGACTTCAAAACACAGCAGCGAGCCAAGACGCTGCGTCAGAGACGAAGATGAGGACGGCCTCCTGGTGCTGACGGAGAACACTGGAAACCAGAGCCTTAAATAAAGACCCAATCAGGTTGGACGTGACATTACGTTGAAAAAAAAGACTTGTTTTTAACCCAACACCTTCCTGATGTCACATATTTATGCAGGTAAACAACGACAGATCGAACACTTGAATGGTCAAAATCTCACAATTATTTCAAAGCAGCCGGATTCAGACTCTTTGTGTGCCACCAAATTTAGCGTTCGTATATGTTGACGTGTTTCAGACTACCTCTTTGTGTATTGAAACATTTCCTTTGTGTTCACTTCTGTGTCGTCTTCGCCTTCTGAGTGTAAATCAAATTCATACTAACAACATTTTACTGGCCTTCAACCCTCAAATATGAGAAGTGAAGTTATTGTTTGTAGCCCTGCTAATCAGTTGTCCACTTATCTCTCAAATGTCTCCGCACACGTTGGATGGATTGCCTTGAAACTTTGCAAAGACGTTGATGTTCTCCACACGATGAATCCTACTGACTTTGGTGATCCTCTGATGTTTCATCTGGAGGCCAACTGAGGTCCAAACACTTAAGTTTATAAATAGAAACGCCAAATATTGGCACGCTGACTTGCTAAGTGTTAGCATGTGTAGATGCTAACATGAAGCCTTCTAATAGTAGCATGTAAATGTGCTAAATTGTCCATCATGCTAATGTTAAAATGATTCATAAAATTAAAAAAACGTTTTAATTTCCTAGCCTATGACGACCAAAAGTCCAAAACCCAAAGATGTTAATATAACAATAATTCATGACAAACAAGAGCAGAACATTCTCACATTTGAGAAGCTGGAACCCGTGAAAGTGTCTTTTTTTTTTTTGGGCTTAAAAATCACGGATTCATTTAACTGATCGATCAGTCAGCTCATCGTTTGAACTCTATGTGGATGAGATGAACGCAGCTGTGCAGGTTGATGTAAGTCAATTCACAGATATGATTCCTTCAGTTGACAAATACACACGTTTGCCCACATGAGTGTGAATGTCCTAAATGGGCCACCGTAGAGATGATATCCATCGTTTTATTTAGATTGCAACGTGGCCTTTTTTTTTCTGGCACCGCCCTCCGGACAAACAACATTTTTTTAGAGCTAATAATAACCACGTTGTCTCTCAACTTTACGTCAGTCCTTTGTAGGTTCGAGTCGGCTGTTGAGCACTTCAGATCAAACGCAAACAGTGGAAAGATCGAGAGCCTGAAGAGCTCTGCAAGCATTACTTTGAGAGAACAAATCAGTCTTTTCAATGCAGATCTCTTAATTGTACCAGAAAAAAGTCAAATCTGATGTTTTTTTTGTAAACTGTTGACATTTGTTATCCCATAACATGGGATTTTAAACCCACTTCCTGTCAGGTCCCACATCACCTGTTTTCACTGTGACTCTAGTGGAAGGAAGTGCGATTCAGTTGAAGCCTGAGAACTCTGACTGTGATCTTAATGTCCCCGTTAAGATCAGAGACGGCCCGGTGAGGGAGTTGAAAGTAACGGTAACATGTTTTTTTTGGGAGTCGATTTCCATTTGTGACGATCAGAAGCTCAACATGTCGTCACTGCCCTGTTAAATCATCTTCTCTCAGCTCAGGGGAGTTTATTTTAATGCCTTCTCTTCACCATGGACCATATGAAATATTAAGTTGATGGAGATCAAATTTGCCTGTTTTTTTTTCACTGTATCAACCTTGAATACTGTATCGGCACTTTAGAGTTGAATTTGCTAAAACTCACTGTCACACACTGATCACACGTGTTGGTTCATTGAAGGGAGAGATGAGCTTGATGCGACATGATGTTTTCAGCGGGTGAAACAATGTGCTTTGTTCTTATTTTGTCCTTGACAGGAAGAACAGATTTCACACAGATACAGTTTGTCTAATCCTCTAACCGTCGTTACATTTCACTTGCATTTCCTGAGAGACTGTTGCAACGCAGCGTCGTGCAGACTGTGTGTTGCGTAAGACTCTGTCACAATGTTCAGTTGCACCAACTGGATCGAAGTTTAGGAGGAATAATGATGAAGTGGAGTTCAAATAAAAGATATCTATTACAATAACAACTGTCTGTGTCCACTTTAGGACCAACAGTACACGGACACAAACGTTCCACCTGTATGTGATAGTTAAACATGTGACACCATGGGCCTTAATGTGCGGCCATAACGGCAGCATTGAGATCCTTTACTTCAAGTAAAAGTACTAATATCACACTTGCATTGGAAATGTAACCTCAGTAAAAGTATGTATAGTATAATAAGGAAAATGTACTGAAAGTATTAAAAGTAGAGAAATGTGACCGTTATACTATCATGTATTATATCATAGGTTATTATTACTCATGCATGATGAATGGATGATGCGTGAACAGGATGTTCCTGTTGTAGCTGGTTGAGGTGGAGCTCATTTTAAACTATTCATTGATGATTTTTTTAATGATGAGTTTGCTCCACCAACTGCTTAACGGTTGGGCTGAATTTGGATTGAAACTTGGTACGTGGAGCCCTGACACGTATAGAAAGAACTGTTTGTCAGACAAGTAAAAAGAAAAATACAACAGATTATAAATAATATTTATATGAATAATTTAAATGGAAAACATCATCTGTAGCAGATGAGTTTATGTTCAGATTTGAGCCCTTGAGGCTTAAAGACTCCATCTTTGATACATCAAGTAATATCATTTTGTTAAGAATAAGATGTTTGTGATGCGGAAACAAATTTCTTACTCTTTTTCATTTTGCTCTGAAAGAAACTCTTACAGTAAAGATTCCTGATAAGACATTGTTCTAATTCCTGCACAGGACAAACTGCCTCAACCTGTTTGTTCCAGGCTGATTTCAAATCCACGGAGTTGACTGTGTTCACCAGACGGATATCAACTATGTCTCCGACCGTTTACCACTAAGGGTCCGGTCTGCTTGAAACTACCACCACGTTTATGACTGTGTTTAGTATGTAGTTCCAAATAGTAGAAATGTAGAAATACTGCGTCACGTGTAAAAGTCCTGCATTTAATATTTAAAAGTACAAAACATGGTGCAGAATGAACCATTTCAGAATTCCTATTCTTATGACTATTGATGTGTTCATCACTTTATTGTTGCAGCTCGTAAAGATGGAGCTTATTTATACATTTTATATAACTTTATATACTGGAGCTTGTGATAATCCCGGGGAACAATAAAGTTTGATCTTTATCTATAATAATACGTCATTATTTATTTATCATCTAAAATCTGAAAAATAACTTAACTCAAATATACGTAGTGGGAGTAAAATATTTCCTTTTGAAATGTGAAGTTGAAGTATGAATACTTTAGTACTTAAGTACAGCGCTTGAGTACGTGTACTTCCACCACTGCCATGTAGGCTACTCTAGTTTTTAACTCGCAGCTCTAAATTGAAATTTCAAAGCATCATTAATGACACTAAATTTAAAGTTTCTGAGAACGACTCTGCGCTCCTCGTTCGTCTTTACGCGCGGAGAGACACCTGCGACACGAGCGCTTCCTTTGTCTTCCTTCGTGACATGTGAGCGCCGGTTTGATCCTCTGAATCAGCTGTCAGGATCTGTCGTCGCGCCTCTTCATGTTGCGACATTAGCGCTGCAGATGAAGTGGTGTAAACTCAAAACTGAGCTCTCACTCTCTTTTGTCATTCTTCGAGGAAGTTCATTCCCTGCGAGTCTGAGCGGCGCAGAAAGTAAAGGTGAGTTACTCTACTTCACCTTTTCTTGTTTGAAGATCTGCATTGTTTTACCTGTTACAAGTTCAGAGAGAAAAAGTTGGTTCCCAAAATGTTTCATGAAGCCAAAGCTCATAAAACCACCCAACTGTGGATGCCTGTTTGAGAAGATGTAACTGAAGCTTTGAAGGAAAACTTGTTCATCCTCCTTTTTCTTCAAATGTGGATCAAATCCTTCCTTTAACCCCGAGACCTGCTTCCTTTTTAAAGGACCACTGAACCCCAGATTTAAAATCTTGAGCTGTATATTTCCTGCTAGATATTTAAAAGTTATGTTGGCCTTTCTTCATCTGCTCACGTCTGTTTTCTGTCGCCATCAGAAACCTGGAATGCTCTTTTAAACCCTCTTAAAGTGGATAAAATCCCTTCTGTTGCTGCCCCTGTAGGTGTGATAATCCCGTCAGTTCAATTGTTTTAAAAACGAAATTACAACCGACTGTTAGATGTGGGAAATAAAATAAAAGATAGCGGCTGAAGTGAGGCGAAGCTTAACGTGTCATCTGTCCTGTTCCTGCTCAGGTGAGACTCTTGAGTGCCGTGGCCGAAATACAACATCCATAAATACACTGCATCCATCCAAGTGGAAGGAAAGTGAGTGTGACAGCTTTTCATTCATACTAAGAGCCACGGTGACATGAGTACAGTTTTAATCATATAAACAGAAATCATCTCATTGGTTGAATTAAACTTCAGCAGCAACCCTGTTTTTCTTGTAATATGATGTTAAAGAGGCTCTTTAACTTTGTGTGGATTTATAAAAGTTGACTTACTTAACCCTTTACTTAAATAAAGCATAAATGTGTTAGACAGAGTGCCAACAGTGTTAACATTTTTGGCACTTAGAATGGCTCCTGTCAATGTTATATATTTAATTATTGGATTATTATTGTTATTGATGTGTTAATTAGGTGTTCCTTTGTTTTTGAGGTGTGACTAATTACAACAATTTAATACTTCAATCATCTTCATATTTTATAGTAACTTCAGATTATAGTTCAGTAAAAAGTACAATATCAGAATCAGAACCGTTTATTGCCATGTATGTTGAACATACAAGGAATTTGGCGTGACGGGAGGTGCAAACTTAATCAACAACAATCAGTGCAAGTATAAACATATTAAATATGTGTCTCTAATATGTCGCTCTGAAATGAAGTGGTGTAGAATATTGGTATCATAATATGTAAATACCAAAGTTAGTACAGTACTCTACATTAGATCTGGGCCCTTTCATATTTACCATCAATTTACGACACATTTGATCCATTGTTGACATGAAAATATGAATCAGTGCAGCTTTGAAGTTATCCGGCGAGTTTAGATGATGTTTTTCTACTTGCCAGAGTTTAAATACTTTATCTAACAAAATCGAAAAGAGCGACTCGATCGGCGTCACTGTAGGCATGCTGAGCAGTTGGTGGTTTTAAATATATTTTAATTTTATTATCCAATTTCTGATAATGTTCCTCTGATTTGTCAGATAAACTTTAGTCTTCATAGTCCACTGAATTATTATTATTTTACTCATGAATGCAGCCACTTAATTCAACTGATCCTGTGTTCGTTAGGTCAACTCCATGTGTTCAATGACTGAGGTTGGAGGCAGCTGTCCTCATCATGTGGGCTCTCAATGTGTGACTCCTGACCTCAGTATTAAGGGACTTTTTCTCGGTTCTGACAGTGCAGTTCCCAAGATAGATGCCTCCTTTTAACAGATAAACTCACATGGTGATGCTCTCTGGTTACTGCTCGCTCTCTTTTCATGTTTCACTGGGTGGGGGGGGGGGGGGGATTGTTAGCACGTTGGTTGGATGCATTAATGTTTAAAGTTTTACTTTCGTTTGGTATTTATATTTAGAACTCACAGTGTGTTTGGACCAGTCTGATGATGTACAACAGGTGGAAGTGAAATAAGGACTTCTGTTTTTCACTTGAGCTTCCTGTTTGTGGACTAAACACTGTAAAGCCGCGTGATCTTGGGGGAAAAAATGTTTAGAAAGTATGATTTTGCTTCAGAGTAAGAATTTATTTGCAGTGTTTTAAACCCTGAAACATACACCTTGACAATAACCTGCATAATAACCTCTGATGAGGAAGTATGGAACATATGAATGCACCATCTGACTGTTCAAACGATCCATGTATTAAACTGCATTTAAAGAGTTTCAGTTTCATTATTCACAAATAGGCCACTAAACAGTCGCTCACATGCTGAATACAGCTCGTGAGGAAGACATGCAGACACATTGTCAGGTAAAAGAAAATACACAGCGCACGCTGCACCTCACTGCAGCGCTGCACCTGAAAACTGAGCTGCCCGTTAATGTTGACGTAGTTGTAGGCCAGCTAGCAGGCTCTGGCACGTCAACGAATACGCCCAAATATGTCAAACTAAAGATCTGATTGGTTGAAGACTATGACAATCAACAATATCGTCCCCATTCATTTAAACTGCACAGGGATTCACATGCGAGTCTGCAGGCCTGGGGCCTCTCTTCTTACCTAGAATCCCTCCAATATCAGTCCGGACCAAAGTGTAAATCCGATCAACATTGCTATCTGCTATGAGCTAATAGAAATAAAGTTGACTTGCTTTTCAGTCTGTTAAAGGACAATGACCAGCCCTGCAGGTTCTGGTCTAGTTTTCAACACTTGAAAAGCTAAAGAAGTCTGATTGGCTTCAGGCTTCATTGCCAATATTGGTTGAAGGTGAGTCCACAAACAGCTGAGCATAACAAATAATTGTGTAGCTTGTAAGTCTGTACGAGATCACTTCAGTGATCCTCTGACTTTTAAGCGCTAGCATCAGGTCAACATCTTTATGTGCCTAATATCTCGGGTTTATGATCAAATACCTGCAACGATTATGACATTTCCATCGGCCTCAAATGCACTTTGTGTTTAGTGCTAGCAAGTCTATGTTAGCATGCTAACCTAACGTGGTGAACATGGTTAACATTATACCTGATAAGAAACAGCATAGTTGTTAGCGTTCTGGCGTTATCAATTAGCTCATTTGGTACAGCCTCACATAGACTCTTAGTCTCGAAAGTATGTTTTGTATTTTGGATGAACTTGACCTTTTTAAAACTCTTCTGTCCAGATGAGCAGCGCAGAGAAAAGAAGCAAGGGCAGCGGGGCCGAGATGAGCGGAGACACCTGGACTCTGCACACGGACGGCATCCCTCCGGACACACTCAGTAAGGTACAAGACACTGGAGTCATTTATGTCAGCAAATCAGCCCTATGATATGTGAGTTTTTAAATTCTGCAACATATACCAGACACAGAGGCGAAAAATCATTTTTCAAACAACATCTAAACACCCAGGCTGTTTGAAAACAAAAGAAACAACTTATGCATAAATTAACTAGTGAAAAAGAGAAGTTCTGTTAAAGGCAAAGGTGGAAAGTAACATTTACTCAAGTACTCTCCTTGATAAAGTTGGCTACTTGTACTTTACTTGAGTATTTCCATTTTAAGCTTATTTATACTTCTACTCCACTTCTGAGACAAATATTGTAGTTTTTACTCCAATATATTTATCTGTCAGCTAGTTACTTTGAAGATCAAGGTTTTACATGTAATAATATATAAAAATTGTTTAAAATATGATGTATTATAGATTAATTGCTGCACAGATTGTACTGTAGATTAAACAGTATATATATAATCACCACTGCCAGATGAGTACACTTTTGTAATACTTTTGAACTGTTTCTAGATTTAGACACTGACCAGAGGTTACAAACGAAGCTAATAATTAGAATGCAGACAGTAGAGCAATTGGCATTCAGTACTAATACACAACATATGAAGACGTTATTTTGAAAACAAAGAGTACAAGAACTTTCAGTGTCTCAAATTTATGAGGCAAACTGTCAAAGTGACTGCTTCAGTGTGATTTTGTAAAACCTTTATTTTAGCCTCATTCACAACCTTCTGCTCGTGTGATTTAAGACTCGTTACTCACAGCAGCAAGAAACTGTCTGTTTTGGGGAGTGAGTGTTGTTGCTGGGAGGATTCTTGGATTAGGAAATCAAAGAGTGTATTAGTCTGATTCATGCAGGAGGATAAGTCACGGGATCATTTATTGTAAGGTTAACACTCATAATAATGAAGTTAAGCAGGTTTCATTTGAAATACCTCAGGAAGACAGATGGAGTCACACCCAACTCTCTTCTCTATTTTTAAAAAACCTGCACCCTGCTGATTACTTTCAGTCAACCATGAAGTACATTTACTATATACTTTGATTTGCGTGCTACTTTATACTTCTATTTTACTACAATTTAGAGGCAAATATTGTAATTTTTATTTCACTACATTTATTCGAGAACTGTAATTACTTTCCAGATAATAATAAAAAATATGATTTACAAATCAATTATGATATTAATATGTCAATAAGACATAAGATACCTTCAGTAGGAATTATGTAGAATACATACCCTACATTTACCAGCTGCAATTTAAAAATTATTTCACTACTGTGGTAAAATACGGGTACTTCTTTCACCACTAGTGCACCGTGATTGTGCGTATATATCCCAGGCTGGTGAATACAAGGTATGTCTGTACGTACAAAGTATGTCTACGCATGCAGAGACACGAGAGAAAGAGAAGAGATAACTATGTGAGGGATGGAAGTGAAGAAAGAATCTATGACTCCAGAGAGAAAGAGCCAAACAAGGCCTGAACAAACATGCAACGCCATGTCAGGACAGAGAAGAAGAAGAAGAGACCAAGAGAGGAATGGTGTACAGACCTGATCCCGATCCCATGGTGCTGGAAACAGGTTTAACTCAAAGACTATTGAACTATAATAACAATAATACAACTTTATTTATACATAGTACATTTCATATGAACAAATGCAATATAATGTGCTTCTCTGTAGGTGAAAATACACAGAAAAAGATTAATGCAAAAATGAGAAACATCAAAAAAAGACAAGTGACGTCAAATACGAGATATTTAAAACATATTGTAAAAATAAAGATAACAGTGAATAACTATGTAACAACAATTATGAATGAAATGAAAGTACGTGATTCATTTATTTTTCTAAAAGTATTAAAGCCGATGTGTTTTATTATACTTTATTGGATGATACCAGCTGTAACAATGTGCTATCCTGACTTTAATCTCAAGTTGTGAGATGTCTGTCAGCTAAAGCCCTCCTCTAAAACAGTTTGTGTTGAAGCTCTAGTTAGAGAAATATCTTTTATAAAAAGAGTTTGGAGAGTTGTGTCTTTATTTTTTTTTCAGATGCAAAGGTGTCATGAATGGATTAATATGTTTGTTGTAACTTTAATTATTACCTGTAGAGTTAAAGCCAAGACCAAAGAGCACATCATTAACTCACTACATTATTCTGTGGGTTCACAGTTTTCCTTAGAAAAGGCCCGGTTCAGGACTGAAGAGGGTCCATGTGGGAGCTGGTCTTGGATTCTGTCAGAGTTTAGGGTCTAGGTTTAGGCATGTAATACCTACTATTCCTCCATGATTTTATTCGTGGATAGCAGGACCAACAGGACTGTTGTAACTTGTCTGAGATATTTCAGACACTGACAGTAAAGACCATCACACCGCAGATTGGCTTTCGGTGAAACTGGTCCTGTTAGTGAACCAATCCAAGCCGCCATGTTGAAACCTGGATCTACAGAAACACACAAATACACATCCTGCCCACACACATTTCACAAATTCACCCACACAGTTTCTAGGGCTTATACTCCAGGTGTGTCTGGGTTCAGGAGGTTTAAATATTGGATTAAGGAGGGTTCGGATTATTTGAATTGATGAGGACACAAAGACAAAAATAAAAACTAATGTGAAAAATAAAGTAGGCTTTACCACGATGTCGAAGTGAACAGCAACAGGCAAAGAAAGCTTTAAACACAAACTACATTCTGTGTCTGTAGTTCAGTTGAGTTTACTGAGGTGTTGCACCGCATGCTGTACTCTAGACTGCTTTTAGCAGTGCTAGCACGTGGCTAGCATGGCCCTATGGATGGCCTGTTGGTCAGTACACCATTTTGGTCCAACTGTTGGATCGATTACCATTACATCTTGTACAGACAATCATGGTGATCCTCTGACTTGTCCTTTAGGGCCATCATCAGGTTTAAATTGCAGTATGTTCAATTGGTTTGTGACTAAATACCTGCAAAACATTCCCATGAATTTCACTTGCAAATGTTAGCATGCTAAATTAAGATGGTGAACTACCTGCTTCACCTCAGCATGTTAGCTTTGTCATTGTGAGTTTCTTAGCATGCTGATGTTAGCATTTAGCTCAAACCTCTGCTGTGCCTAAGCACACTAACATGGCTGTAGACTACTTCCCAAACTTTTTAAAACCAAAGCACCCCAGACAAAAAAAAATCGAGGACCTCTTGGAATACATGTTGTACCCCAGAAATGAAATGAACTGAAATGTTCGTTCCTCTGAAAGCCTCTGTGGATGTTTTTTACCCAGAATCCCCCTCTCTGTGGCCTTCTGTGAAGCATTTTTCTCCAAACCTCCTTTAAATAACGACGCTGCTCTTGTGCTGAAGTTGAAGGTTGCCTTTATTATCCAAAAAGGAAGTTCATTTTGTTGGGAGGGCCGATACAGACAATGCAGCAAAGGCAGTCCGTAGACACACAACAGGAAGCTGCACATCATTTCTGGGTGATGTGTCCCATATGTCCCCCACGTACATCTGCTAAATGTGACCCTAACAACAACAAAAAGTCATAAACCTACGATTTAATCTCTAAACCTTGTGGGGACCAGTTCTTAGTCTCTAAATCAGAGGATGCAACATAACAGTTGTGAAAGAAGTTGCTCTGTACTGTACGCCACAGAGCACTATGTGTTATAGATGCAGTTTGGTAAGTTAGAGCTTCTTAAATCTGCACAATGTTACTCCAGCTTTAACCGAAGCGGAAAACAGGAAGAGAATTGTGAATTGTTGCCAGGCATCTCCAGAGGATCATAACATGTTGTGCCAGCCAGGCCTCTTCCTGCACAATGTGCCTCTGCATTTCATTCACAGAAATGTTGGAGCATAAACAGCAGACACATGCACGTCTTTTTACTGTTCATTGTTTACCTTTTTATTTCCATTGAACATAGACCGCAGTAAATTGTAATTTAACTTCAGGTCATACATGCTATGAATTGAGTAATCTGCACCTTCAACAGACCTTGAAACTGAATTACAGGATTAAAGCTTCTTTTTGTCGTCTAATTCGTCAGAAGAGGGTTTGTCGTTTTCTTCTTCATCTTTAATGAAAGAAGAACTAATAGATAGGAACCGAACGCTGAGACACAGAAGAACAGAGCTCTAGTTCTTAGGTAAAAAGTGTTCTATCAATCAGATTTGCAGACAAATAATGCAGATCTGAAAAATGTATGGGTGTGGATTCTGAATGCAGACAAAGAGCATTTCTCCACGCACCCTCTTTTTTTTTTTTTTTTTTTTTTTTTTTAACTTTCATGCAACGCTCCTCCTGATTGGCCAATAATCAAAACCCTGAAGTCACTGTCGTTCTCTGATTGGTTATGAATTAAAAACAGGATCATGTGCCGTTACACTTTTACTCAAGTGGAGGTGCTAATACACCAAACTACGTTATATACTGTAACTGAAACTCTTCCCAACCTGCACATCACTTTTGCGAGCTTGTTTTTAGTGCGGTGGTGCCAGGCATCTCATTATACGGAGACTCTCTCTCACACGCTCTCACAGGTCATGATGACCTTCTTCCTTTATCTAACTCTCTGATCCTCTCTGCTTCTAAAATGAACACAGATTGTGTCAGTAATTTATACTGTGATTAGAATAAACACATCTAGGTTATGCATCGATTAGGTAAATTACCCAATTTATTTAAGGGTGTTTGACTGAATGCTTTACTGTAAAGGTGAGGTGATCGTGAGTCAAAGATCGCATTTGCTCTTTATGTCATAACTCTGAACTCACAAACATGAAACATTATTCAGCATGACTTCCCGAGGAGAACATTGTCTCTGATGTCCATCGAGAATAAACGCCCATAAATCCACTTAGAAATTAGAAAAAAAAGAGGCTTCAGAACATGCCTGAGAATCTTCATGTTTTTAAGTTTTTCTCAGTATCAAAGTAATCCAGTGATAGTTGTCTGTACGTCCATGGGTACTCTGCAAACAGGAACATCCAATTACTACTTCGGCATACTTGTCATGGTGCCAATTAGGCAGAATTTGAACATAAGCTAACAAAACGGGGCTCAAAAGAGAGTTACAAACCCCACCTGCCGCTGATATTCTCTGTCGTCATATAAAGGCCTATATGTTGGTGTTTGCATGTTTTGACAGTTCATTAAATTCACATTAAATAAGTGATGTATATTTATTTCACCTGTCAACAAATCACTGTAGACATAGTCAGGAAGTTCCTTCATGAAACATGATGTCATCCACAGCAACAGGATCAAACCCCGCCTCTCCTCTGAGCGCAGGAGCTCTCTTTGTTTTATAGAAACTCTCAGTGACATTTAAGACTCCTGGTTATATTAGATAACATCCTTGTCATATATCATATCATGTGCTGCATTATAACTGGTAGGACGACATTGTTCAGATCTGTTTGAAATAGCTTTTGCTGCGTAGTGACCCAAACTCTTGTTTTATCCATTTTCAATACCATCTACAGTAGTGGGCTCTGTGGTTTCAAAGTGAAGGTTTTGAGGAAACACTGCCATCCTGTGGATACATTATGTGAACTGTGTTCTGCCTTCACTTTATATTTTTCTATTATTTTGATTTATATGTGTAAATATAGTTAATTAATATTGTTATTATTTACTATTTGGCATTTTTCTCATGGTTGTTTGCTTTATGTTGACAATCTGCAATAAAATAGAACAACATTTTTGTGTGTGTGTGTGTGCGTGCGTGTGTGTGCGTGCGTGTGTGTGTGTGTGTGTGTGTAAAAATGTGCTGCATAGTATTGATTGTACAAATTAGAACTGATTAAACATAATAAAACGAAATAAACAAAACAAACAGACAAATGAAGCAAACTTACACATTTAAAAAAAAAAACAATAAGGCTGTTCCAGACTGGAACTCTCTCTCATTTACATTTTACTTTTTTTTTTTTTTTTTTATTGGCATAATGAAGTCTAAATATATTAGCGTGTAACCAAACCAGATCTGGTGGACAGAAGACAAAGTCAAAGTGGATTATAACATGAACTGGTTGCTGATGTATATCAAGTCTGCACAAACACATTTAGGTCAGAAAAGTGAATTCTCTCTCTCTCTCTCTCTCTCTCTCTCTCTCTCTCTCTCTCTCTCTGCAGGTGCAGGAGTACCTGGAGTGTTTCCACCTGTCTCTGGAGAAGCTGCAGGAGGTTTCTGCTCGGCTGAGGAAGGATCTGGTTCGAGGTTTGGGGAAACACTCTCACCACAAGGCGCCCGTCAAGATGCTGCCCACCTTCGTCAGGGCCACACCGGACGGGACGGGTACCTTTTTACATTACTGTGTATACTTTATCATCATAAACCTTTTAATATCTCAGATTTTTACGCTCAACTGTAACGATAAACCAATGCGTTTCCTTCCTCCCGGCAGAGAAGGGCGACTTCCTGGCGCTGGATCTCGGTGGAACAAACTTCCGGGTGCTCCATGTCCGTGTGGTGGAGGAGCAGCAGAGAGTGCTGAAGATGGACAGTCAGATCTGTGCCATCCCCAAAGAAATGATGCTGGGACCTGGAGAACAGGCGAGTCTGATGCAGCATCAAAAACAATGTACAATTTTAAGATAAGAAAAATGAAAACTAATATATTCACGAGAGCAGCCTTTTTTCCATCACACACACACACATAGAATATTAAAATGGAATGTACAGTAATTAAGTAGAGTTTTGAGGTACTCGTGCTTTACTTGAGTATTTCTATTTTCTGCTACTGAACACTTCTACTACATCTCAGAGACAGTAGTTGCTTTGCAGATTTAGATTAATAATTCAATTATTATTGATTAAGGGGGAATTTCACAAGCTATGCAGCAGTGCAGTTCTGCATAATTGAGTATTTCTTTCTTTAGGTACTCTAAATATATTTTGATGCTGATATTTACCAATATTGAATGACTTGGATCAGGATTGGAGCCAAAAGGACATCCCTACTATCTGTATATATATGAAGATGATAAATATCCGTCTTTCTTTCTGTCCAGTTGTTCGACCACATCGCCGCCTGTCTCAATGACTTCCTCGTCTCTCAGAAACTGAAGGGACAAACTCTTCCTCTGGGCTTCACCTTCTCCTTCCCCTGCGAACAGAAAGAAATCGACAAGGTCAGACACGCGCGCACACACCACACGTTTTAACCAAACCTCACAGAAAAACTGCAGGATTTAAGAATATACAAATGTAATTGCTTGAGGGCTATTGTGCTGCAGGTGTTTTTAGAAGATCAGCTCAATCTTTCAAAAGGTGTCTGTGTTTAATGTGGAATGTTCTCTCTACACAGAGCATCCTGATCCGATGGACTAAAGGCTTCAACTGCTCCGGAGTGGAGGGCAAAGACGTGGTGAAGTTACTGAAGGAGGCCATTCACAGGAGAGGGGTCAGTCTACAATACTGAGGCTCGCACGGTGATATTTAAAATACGATGTGACGCAATATGATGAAATGTCATGTTGAGATCTGCGACGATACGTCGATCAATCAGAAAGTTGATTGGCAATTATTTTGATGATCTATAATCAAGTTAAATGTCGTCTGGTTTCAGCTTCTCAGATGGGAGGAGTTGGTGGAATCTAATCATGTACTCAAGTGCTGTACTTTCTCTACATTTCAGAGGAAAATATTGTATACAAATAAGTTATTTTACAAATTAGGTTTTTGTATTCAAAACATATGAAGTGCAGCTGAAATTATTATTAGGTTATCTTTTCATGCAAAAACATTTCATGGTTGCAGCTTTAAAAATGTGAATATTTGCTGCTTTTCCTTTAAATAATATTAATATTTGTAATGTGTTAGTAGTAATGTTGAGGTTTGGACATTAGGTGTCACTTTGGGCTCTGGGTAATTGTGATGCCCATTCTCACTATTTTCACTATTTTTGCAACTCAACTTTATGTATAAAGCACCTTTTATACAATCATGCAGCCCAGAGTGCTTCACAGAGCCACATTAAAACAACAAAATGAAAAAGATGAACTAAATAATAGACAACAATGTAATAGAATTACAAACCAAACAATCAATCGGTTAATGAGCAGAATCAGCAGATTAATCCCTAATGGAAATGATCATTAGTTGCAGTCCAATACAAAATATGACTTAATACTAAATGCTTTGTTGCTTAATCAAGAAAACAATCAGTCGATTCTGAAAATAATGGTTAGTTGCAGTTCTTGTCAAATCCAGCCGAAAAACACAAAGAACAAAAGAATCTTGGGGGTTCAGATGCACTTGAACCAATGAGAAGCTGGAGGATGTTGTAAGTGTCATGCTGCCCAACCTGCTTTTGTTTCCCAGAATGCTCCTCTAAATCTTTAATCAGTGCTGTGAAGTAGCATCATGTGGTCCTTTATCTCTACCGATGCTTATGGATGTACATGAAGCTGGTTCCATGTTGTTTGTTGTCTCAGACTCTTAATAGAACCAATGTGACATTCTGCAGTTTCTCTTTGCACAAAATGTGTGTGTAGGCAGGTTGTTTGGAATACAGATTATAAATAGGAAGCACATACACACCTGTCTCTCTCTCTTATCTGTCTGCCTCTCTGTCTCTCTGTCTCTCTCTCTTGTCTATCTGTCTGTCTGTCTGTCTCTCTCTGTCTCTCTCTCTCGCTCTCTGTCTCTCTCTCTCTTGTCTGTCTGTATATCTGTCTGTCTGTCTCTCTCTCTCATTCGCTCTCTCTCTCTCTCTCTCTCTCTCTCTCTCTCTCTCTCTCT